CCCTTCCCTTCCCTTCCCTTCCCTTCCCTTCCCTTCCCTTCCCTTCCCTTCCCTTTTTTCCTTGATTCCCATCCCCTCCCTTTTTTCCTTGGTTTTTAAAGGAAGATTTGAAGAATAACACAGGACAACCAGAAAGATGAGCCTCAGCATCCTTTTTGACATTTCTAAAGCTATTAACAATAAGCATGAAGTGTTCCCCTTCCTTTCCTTTTACCTCTGTATTCCCCAGTCCAACTCTTCTGCTGTGTATTTGCAGAGGTTTTGACTTCAGGTGTGAATTTATCATCCCATCTCATACCAAATCATTGCTGTTCTCCTTTTATACACAATCACACTGATGAAGCTTCATGAGCAGCTAGTTTTCTTTGTGGCATCATCCCCTTGTCCCTTTTTCTCAAGGAAAGCTGAGAATCATAGAATGCCTTGGGTTGGAAGGACCTTAAAGATCATCCATTTCCAACCCCCTTGACATGAACAGGGTTTTCCAGCCCCCAGATCAGGCTGCCCAAAGCCCCATCCAACATTGCCTTCAATATGATGTAAATAACTGCATATCTCTGGGGTACATTTACATCTCAGGAAAATTTCAGTGGTTCTCCCCATCCATCTCTGCAAGATCCTGTTGGAGAACAAGACTCTGCATGCTGCAAAACAGTCTCATCTTCCCACAAAATGTACAACCATCTTTAACTCTTGAGTTTGCTTGCAGTGAGCGACATACTTACTTGCTTATAAATTGTAGAATGCTCCTCATCCTTCCATGAAAATCACTCCAAACGTGGTCTTCAAAGGCTTGTTTTGTACCTGTCAAAGGTTTGATGTCTCCTTCCTTTCCTTTTCTCCCACAGTTGGCGGCCTGCTGCACAATTGTGTTAAATTGCCCGCCATCCCACTCCTCTTGATATCTGCCATCCTCCTGTTTAAAGGCAGACTGAAGAGAAGTGCTTTGCAGGAAAGATTGGAGAGGTGCTATGTAGCTGCATGTGGGCTGTGGTTGTGTAAATTCATGTGGGAAGACAGTTGAACTTGATGATCTTAGAGGTCTTTTTCAACCTTAAGGGTTCTATGATTCTAAGCCTGTTTCTAGAAAACAAGAACATGAATGAATTGGGAATTTCTTATAAATTCTAAATGAAATGCTTCAGAATTTTAATTACTGCTTCTCTTTCTTACCTTTCTTCCATCTCACACCTTAAGCCGAAGCAATAGAAAAGAATCTCAACAGCAAAAATTCGATAGGAATTCTCCTAACAAAAACTGTGTAGCTTACAGTCTGCAAAATAAAGAGTAGTTGGTGAATTGGCTTTAAAATGCAAATTGAAATGTTGGGATATTTGGAACAAAAGGGACATCC